TATAAAAATTAATTTAAATAATTCTATAATACCCTGTGCAAATCAGTAAATTTGTTCCAAGCATATTTATCTGCCCTTTCACCTCTCTCTATTACTAGAAGAGAATTTAAACCACCTTTTCATTTTTACGTTGGTAGCACATAACATCCTGATTCTTTTTTTTTTTTTTGTACCGGGGATCGAACTCAGGACCTTGTGCTTGTGAGGCAGGCAGCGGAACCACTGAGCTAAATCCCCAGCCCAACCCTGATTCTTAAAATAGAGAACATGGGCACTAAAAATATTTAGTGACTGAAAAAGTAAATAGAGAGGTTCATATCAAAAGAGTATGTGATGAATAACCGAAGTATGATGACATTTCAAATTTTTCAGGACAAGATAAGCTTTAATGTGCATATTATTGCTTTGTCCTTTTTAGATACAAAAGTAGGACAAGCCAAGCATGGTGGCACACACCTGTTATCCCAGCACTCAGGAAACTGAGGCTGGAGGATCGCCTTCAGGTCAAGGCCAGCCTGGGCTACACAGTGAGTTCAAGCCAGCCTGAGCTACATAGCAAGAACCTGTCTCAAAGAAAATAGGACAACTGCTTTATTTAATTCTTTCTCCCAAATCTTGTATTAATTTACAAAATCACTTTCTACTCACTAACTCACAGATATATTGCCACCTGGAAAAATTAGGGGTGGGGAAAGTTGTGCTTATTCTTCAAAGACTTTCATGGTTTAAAAAACTTCAAATGTGAAATGTTTTTGTTGTTTTAATGCACACCTCAGTGTAGCACTTATTCCCTGAAGAACATGCCTTTAAAAACAATTAAGTAGCCACAGAACATGCTAATACCCTGGGTGGTGGTTACTATTAGTACACGTGTACACTTTTCTGGAATATTATCAATTCTGCTTCAGTGCACCATTAAATTGGAGATTACCAACTCTGTGAACTGAGCTTAACAATTACACAGCCTCTATGTCTCCATTTCTCACAAGTATTAGAACATACATGAAAGAATGACTGAAAGTGAGGACTCTAGAATAAAATTGCTAGAGTTTTAAAGCTGGATCTTCAATTTCTATCAAATGATCTTGGAATAGTTACTTGAATTGGGTCTTCCTCAAAAATCTTATCTATAAAATGGGAACAATATTAGTATGCAATGCACAAGGTTATTATAACTATTGAATGATAAGATCTATCTAAAGTGCATGACTCTCAAAAATATGACTTTTTTACTTGATGTTTTTCTTGCCTTCCTACATGGGACTCCAGCCTCCTGAAGAATTCCACCTGCCACAAAATGAATTGGCTATATAGCCACCTTGAAGAAGCTCTGATTTCTTCTCTCTGTCCCAGATCCCTGATGACTTAAGCTCCTCACTGTCCTGCATGCACTATGATCTCCCACCAGATATTTCTGTTGCTATTGTAGCTTTCAAGTTCTATCACCCATTATGGTTACAGTAGAGTTTATGCCAAAGCTGGTAGGGGAGAGTGGTATGACATAAAGCACATAGATTCTGTTGCATAAGTTCTCACAGGACTTCTAGTTAAATAGTTCTTTCAGATTTCATGGAAAATGAACTACCACCACCACAATCCCACTGTCACTGAGTTCTACTTAGTCCAGAAGCAGTAGGCTGTCAGAGCTGAGGAACCAACAATCAAGGTGCTCAGAATTACGCCTCATTTCTACTTTTCTAGGTCAAAATAGAGGTCCCAGGAAGTGAACTCATTCCAAAAAATTCTTTACTCTTTCAAAAATAGATGTCTGGGACCTAACAATCTTCTGGACATACCTAATAGATCTGAACCCAACTACTGCTGACTGTAGCTTCACTGAAGAGGAGGACATTTCTCCTTGACGTTAGGTCAGTTAGGTGTTTTTTTTTCCTGGTAATTCCAAGCCAAATTCCCTCTCAAGTATTTTGTGAGTCCTGATTTTTGGACCATCACAGTAAAAATAGTTTTAAACAGCTTCTAAGTTAGCGCTGGGAAAATCAAATTCATTTTCTCAGCAGTGTTGGAAGAGATTACCATCATGCAGATTTCAAGTTCTTGGTGAATGCTTTTATAGTCTGGGTCAGGCTCTTCAGTGGGAAGGGAGGTAGAAGAGTAAGAGAACAGAAGTCATGCTTCCTCTTCCAAGAATATTTATTTATTCTAGGAACATCCCTAGTCTTGAGCACCATGCTTCCCTTCCACTGCCACCTCCCATTGTTCCTGATCCAACATTTCCCTGACACACTGCAAAACCCACAATTCCTCCTCTGTGTCTAAAGCAAGAAATAGAAGCTCCATTTTCACGTTTCCCAGGGATTTTCACTGTTAGTAATATTGGGGAGCCAAGAAAAGAGGTAAACTTTCAGTATATTTTTTGAGATTCACAGTACAACTTTTTACTGAAATTCCTCCAGAGAGTTGTGAACTCAAGTCTAGATTTTTGCCTCATTATACAAATCTGACTTTATTAATTTGTTCTCATATTTTGTCTGCCTCCCTCCAGACCTTAATTTGCTTGGATTTTTGGTCCTGGATCTCTCTTCATTAAATAAAAAAGATCCACTTCAATGCTTTTTCTATCTTCCTTTTTTACCTAGATCCAGTGTAAACAGAAATACAAAACATGATAGGGATAAGGAAAAACTAATCTTGCATTCAAAATAAATTTTTGAAAAATTATGCAACATATATCTGCTTTTATCACACTATTTCTTCAAAGATGTCATAAAAACCCCATGAGAAAATGCTGTTTAGCTTTCTGGCAGGGGTGAAAGGCAGGATTCTGTAAAAGGTATTTTCAAGGCTAGTATTACTTTGGCTGCTGATACAACTTCTAGGGATGGTAGTGATGATGTAAATAATAGTAAACAATAGTAACAGTACATTTCTAATTTATTTAACCTAGATGCTTAATATTATTTGTATGTTCACATGAGTCCTGATAAGTACTCACTACTCTCTCAACTTTTCAGATTCAAAAATTCTAGTCTAAAATCAAAAGAGTAGTAGCACAATAAGTCAAGTGCTTTGTCATCAGCACCAGTGGGCTGCTGCTTGACTTGACAATAAAACCAACATGGCAATGAATAGGAGGAATAATATTGTAGATAGTTTGTTCTTTCTTGTCTTTCTTGCCCTTTCTCCACTTTCTGATATTGCCTAAAACAGCAGTTAACAATTGCTACAATGTTATGTAAAACACATCCACAAATAGAAAAACAAAGATTAATAGCTTAAAACAGTAATCCTGGATTTTCATGCACATGCATGCAGGTCAGCTGGAGTCTGCTGACTTGAAATGGTTTGGTCTGGGCTTGACTCCAAGTGTGGGCTGCATCCAAACCTCCCCAAACCAGAGGGCCAGGGATGTGTGTACTTTTCATGAAATTGGCTGGAGTAGTTTTAAAAAAAGCCTACCATAAACATATTTCAAGGCTCTGCTTGTCTCACATCTTCTGGCATCCCATTGACCAAAACAAGTTCCACGGCCAAGACCAACTTCAATCCACCTTGAGGCAAGAGAAAGTGATGAATAATACTAATAGAAGTAGAGAATTCTAACAAGTGATCTCATACAACCTTGGTACCATAGACAAACAAAAACTCAAAGGAAGAATTGACCAGAAATATGGAAAATGGTCCCAAGATCATGGCAATATGTGGCAGCACAGGTTAGAATGAAATGGCTAAGAAAGATGGAATAAGAAATCCCAGGGGAAAACAGTTAAAAAGAAGGGGAAATGATTGTTACTACTCAGCTTGCTCAGCATTTTATTTTGGGAGCCAAAATAAAGATTTACTTCTTATACATGAACCTTGAAAGCTTTACCCTAGCAGGAGCTCCAGGTACATCAAGCAGGGATCAGAATTTCCCAGTGCCACAAAAAAGAAAGTTAAAAAAAGAAAACCCTTTCCAAACATTTCCCTCTCTTTATTTTCTGTGTTCTTTGGCTTGAATTATCCCTCCAGAAGTGGGACTAAATTGAGACATCAACACTTGCAAAATTCAGGCTTTGTCGGCTTCCCAAAACTAAGAAAGTCTTACATTTCCTTGTTACTATATAAAAGTTTCAGTTGGATGAGACCATAAGAATTTATTAATTCAGAGGAATACCAATAAGCTCAAAAAACTTTAGTTGCTTATTACAAAACATCAAAAGAAGTCAAGTATAACTCACCATTTTGTTTTCTCTTCCAAAGTTTGTAATGATTTTTGGTTTCTCCTTTTTTTCTCATAAATCTTCTCTGAAACTAAACTATAAACTACTTTCTGTTTGGTAAATAAATATTTCATTAACTATTTCAAATACAGTATTGCCCCAGATGTACAGTGGACAGCTTCTGAGAATCGCAGATGTTGACAAAAGAACTGTGTATTTTGTTTAACATCTCAAAGTACCATTTAGTATTGAAAGTGATTGGAATTTAAAACTTTGGCTTGTAGAGAGGCCCTGTGGTTTTCTAGAAAGACCATTAACTAGCTCTAAAACTAGCTCTAAAACTCATGTATGTGTATTTAAAGGCTTATAACAACCTGGCCCCAGCCAACATCTGTAAAAATACTCGCAATTCCTTTTTTTTACCCTTTACTCCAGTCTCTTCCTCTTCTAACCTCCCATCTTGTCACCTTTGGATCCAATTATTTTGAAAAGCAATCTGTCCCTCTCTTTGCAGACTAAGCCATGGAACACCTCTCTGCTTTCAGAGGGGCCTTCAAGGCATTTTCCAAAACAAAATGTCATCTCTTTTGAAACAAGTTTTTCCACAGGGCTCGTATATCAAAGTCCTTATTTTCAATAGAGTAAAATTTTTTTCTTCTACATACATAAGTCTTATACACTCTCAATTAATTTGAATTAATAAGTGAAAAATTATTTTTACACCTATCATGTTTTCATCAGTAATGTGTCTTAAGCATTTTTATCAATTCTTACTTCATTCTGAATAGGATCTGTGAGAAGGGAAAGAATAAAGAAAGAGAAGAAAGAAAGAAAGAAAGAAAGAAAGAAAGAAAGAAAGAAAGAGAAAGAAAGAAAGAAAAGAAAGAGAAAAGAGCTATGCAGGACCATACTCCGTGTAAGTAATGATATTGAGTTCCTTCTCCAATTTATCTGATTCCAAAAGCTTTATTTTCTTATCTACAAAAAAGGAAGTTAACCAAATAATCTCTGAAGTTCCTTGTGATCCAGTTCATACAGTGGAAAATCAGAAGTACAGGTAGAGTATGTAGAAGAGACAAAACACAAGGGCTGGCTTTGCTTTATAACAACCTGTGCTGTATTAATCCCCCTAAATGACCTAATCACTTTTTAAATATCCCAGAACCTCTCAACACCATTGCATTACAAATTAAATTTTCAACACATGAATTTTTGAGAGAGACATTTAAATTATAATAAGGTATAAATCCATTCTTACCTTGCGTACTGTTCAAAATCAGGTGCGTATTAGATTTGGCCTATGGGTCATAGATCCCTCACATGGAAGTTAGCAGATACAAGATTCCAGTAGTTTCTGAATGGGCCCTGGGATCCACTTCAGTGTTTTGGATTGAGACCCTCAGAAGTGGTTTTTCTGACCCCTCGCCTTTCCAGTGGTGTGTGGATTGTTAGTTCCCTGTAGTAAAACCCTTCACGCTTGGAAGATAGAAAGACTTCCTGCCTTTCTGGCTCTTAGAACATTTAGTTCTGACAGTAGTTTCAGGAAAGCTGAACCTGAAAGAAGAAAATTTGTGATTGGTTCTCTGATCTTTTCAGTAAAAAGTGTGACTTTATTGGTATACAATATGGAGAGGTGAAATCATTGGTTAAATTTTACTTTGAATTGCTTGGGATTAAGAATTTATAGAAAAGTATAAGTTGAAAGACCATATATCTCTTGTAAGAAAATATTCTAGTAGCAAGTCTCACAAGAGTTTTGGAGCTAACTGGATACACAAGACTGATGTTGACAGATGGGAAGTATGTAGATTGTCAAACATAGAGAACACAAAACCATCCATGGCTGAAAATATTTTCTTATAGCTACAAGGATTTCTGAAACTCAAAAACAAAATTGAACATAAAAAACGATGTTAATTGAACTCACAATTAATTTTGTCAAGCCTTTTTTTGTTGTTTAAAAAAAGGGGTGCTGGCTGGGAAAGATTGGGGTCATGAGAAGGAGAATGCAGCACTTGGGAAGATTCCAACAAAAAGGACAGACTGCTACTCTCCACCTAGTGGCAGATGCAGGCAGATGCGGAGCGGACAGTGTGTGAGAGGCACACAGAAATATCTGGAAAGCTCTTGAGGACAACCCACTGAAGTGGCTGGGATTGGAGCAGGGGACTTCTCGACTTCTCTATCCAAAAGTATGAAATTTCTAATTCTCTCCAGTAAGGCACAAAATGCACCTTTTGATGCCTGGATGAACACTAACTGATACAATAATTAAACACTGGTTGCCTAAAAATGTAAGGAAATTCATTAATTAATAAGACACTTTACTTCTCAGTTATATTTTTTTTTAAAAAAAGATGGTGTAAACATGGAAAGTAAGCAATGTTACTAAGCCGTGGAGAAATAAGTGGATATCGTTGAGGGTTCCCAGCTATATTCACCCTAAAACACATTTTAGGACTACTGTGTGTTTACTAAAGCAACACTGAGGATACTCTGGATTATGAAGTTTGAGGTCTTCACTGTAGCTCAAGTCTTTATCCCACTGCCTCACACCCCTGAACACTGAATAAATGTTTATTTAGTGTTCATCTGGACAGGATGGATCGCTCCCTGCTTAATTGTTATTTTCAATGTAAATTGATGAAAATTAATATTTTCACAATGATTAATGATTTAACATAATTACACTGAAAGTTTTCTGTTTCACAGCAGATGGGATTATGAATTCATTTATTTTGTTTAGTCTGAAGGAATTCAACTTTTTCTTCCTGTTTTCAAATGTGCATGTTTCTAAATGAGAGAATATTGAAATTTAGGTATGTCAAATTAGATTGTAACTTGTGTCCCAAAATTTATGTTAATATATTTTGGAACAAGAAGAACACTGTATTTCTGCTGTCAAGATTATTTTCTTCACTTTAAACATAATATGTCCTGATTTCAGACTAAATGAGTTTTTAAGAAAGGCATATTTTCCTAGAAATTAGCTTTATGTGCTCCAATCTTTGGAGAAGGCTCTTTTGAATGTTTGTAAATTGCATTCATGAAACTACTACATGAAGAATACTTCAGTGGCATACTTGGGATTGTGTAGTTGCTATTTCACACATACACAAAGCTTCTCCTGTGACAAATTTATTCAACTAGTAATATTTAAGGGGCTTTTTGCTTCTAATAAAGTTCACAAAAGAATATGTAAAAGAGAAATATGATACCAATCAACACTTCTTGATACACAAATATAAATATCTTACAGAAACTAACTGGCAAACTTGTGAACTACAATTAGCCAATAGAATACTTAGAAAAAGTCTTACAAAATAATAGAAAAAGCAAAATAAACATGAGATGTCCAAAAAAGTAAAATAAAACTAAATGTGATCTTTGTGTTTCCTCCTAGAAGTGGTAATGTTAAGATTCTGAATTATTTCCAGTGAGAGTAGGAACTTACCTTAATTTATCATTTTATTCAAATCACAGAATATCTGGCCTAAGAATGGCTCTCAAAAACTGAATAAATTTACTTGAACAATGCAGGCATAGATAAATGATATTTTTATATTTTACTTTACCTTTTTTTGCACTTCACCCTTCCTCATTAAAGATTACAAAAATGTAACTTTTTGACGTCTCTTTTAGTTATCATTAGCGCTTCTCCTAGAAAATATGTAATGCTTTCTCTACATTGCCACTTGGATGTCTTTCTTACCCTCCACACTGAATTTGAGGTCTTTCCCTGCTTCCTATTTGCTCCTGCTCCTGCTTTAGGACCCTACCACCAATGTGTCCCTCACTTAGTAAACATCACCACAATCAACCAGCTATAAAACAATCTTTCTTTGTATCTATCCTTTACTCTCTAGATCCAGTCACCCAAAGTTGCATGAATTTTATTTCTAAAATCCTTCTCAAATCCATCCATTCATCTTTATTTCCACTGTCACTAATCTAAGCCACTTTATTTCTATCTGGACTTGGAAAGAGGCTTTTAATCCCTTCTTTTCCATCTGTATTTGTCCACGCCACCTCCAATTCAGTCTTCCTACCTGAACTAGAGAGATGTGTCTAGAACTCATACTAGATCAAGTCAGCCTACTATTTACAGCCTTTAAGATTCGCCCACATTTTCTCAACTGGCCTCTGCCCACCCTTCAGTCTCTTTTTATGCTGCTCTTCCTTCATTTATGACAACTTTTGTATTGTATTCACAGAGACAAGCACAGACGAGATCCAGGATTCAACCCAAGGACTTTTACTTGTAAGGCCTGTACCCCAGACAATGGGAAGAACAGAGAAGAGGCAGATAATAAATGGATTCATTTAAACCAATCAAGCAGTAAAGTAAACTGGGCTGAGATTTTCAGACTCAAGTCAAACAAAAAAATTAGACAATGTTCAACTTAAATCCAGGACATGTATATTGTGCAATCACATCATCTCAAGAGCATAGAATTTTTTAAAATGTTAATGTTCATATTGGCTGGTGACAAGGGCAGAAACATTTAGGACCAACCTAAAACTCTTTGACCTATAGCCCTAGTGCACAGAATTTTTTAACCTCAATTTGCTTGAGGTGATAACCATGACATTCTTGAAATAGTAAAACATTTCCTTGTGGGCACAACTAGCAGCTGTGGAAGATGTGTACCACCCAACTCCAGGATGTTATTTTGGGGACTGTTGTCTGCAGACTTGTTTAGGAATCATCTGTACAACCATATGTTGCAGATTTCATAAATATGTGCCCTTAATCTCCAGGAAGAGTACTAATAATTTTGTCTATTTGTGATTGAGAGTTTAGTCTTGATATAGATACTATTTAAAGCATTTGTAATATTGAAGAAAATTTGACACATTAGGATACCTAAATATTAATCTTATAAATCAGAAAGTAGCTAGCCAACTCAGATTGGGAAAATCTGAAGAAAGTGTAAGGAAGGGACCATTGAAAAGGAGTAAACAGTACTACAGTACTCTGGAGCTAGTGACAGAGGCAGTTGCCTGGATAGTATGATAAAGGAATCATTACTGAACACCAGAGGCAGAAAGGGTTGCATGGAGCCAAACAGAATTGTAACTTCTAACTGGAGGTTAAGGTCAGCCAAGGTTGACCCCAAAAGAAGAAATCCAGGAAAATAATCAGACTTCACTGTCTAATGTCTTGCCCCTTCTCCTCATTGTCCAAGCCTGAAAGACACCAAAGGGCAAACTCCTCTGTAAATCATTTACAAGGACAAGGTGAGAGGTAGAAAGGATAAGATATCTGAACAGGCAAACAGAACACATCCAACACAGCCTACCTATATTGTTCCTCAGGACTTGCTCTTGTCCTCTGTCTTAGAAAATGGTTTTGTCACCAAACAAGACATATGAAGTAACAGCACAGGAGCAGTTCACTCAACTATGTTCCCACCTAGAAATTAAGAACTTCACCACTATGGACATGCTTCAAGTAAGTTACCAGAGGAAAAAAAGGGAGGGTGAGAATAAATTAATAAGAAAAGTAGCTGGTTCAGTCTGTTTATGCAGCCTCTCAGAAGGCCCATGTTGATGGTCATGGTTGCCTTTTTCTGTGGCTAGAAGTCTCTCTGTTGGGAGGGATCTGGGAAAATAAGTACTCCACCCTCATTCTTCTCTTTCTTCGCTTTTCTACAGGGGCTCCTCCCTGGTCCAACCCAACCAGTAACCACAGAGCTTAGATGCCTAAAGATAGGGAGCACAGTCGTTCACCTCTTCACAAGGAACAGAAAAGAAAATGGGTAAACACCACTGATCCTAGCAGAGCTTAAAATTTCTATATGAAGTCCATGGTTGAATAATTCACCTTAAAATTACTACTTTAGTTAAACCTTTTTTGGGGGGGAGGGTACCAGGGTTCGAACTCAGGACCTTGCCACGAGGCAGGCGGCAGAATCACTGAGCTAAATCCCCAGCTCTAGTTAAACCATTTTTTAATAATTAGGCTAATTTGTAGACAGTTTGAGAAGGTGAAGTTGAATTTGAAAATCACTTTATTTGTAAGTTTAATTTACAAGAAACAATTCTTTAATTTACAGGGAACAAACTCTTAAAGCAGGCCTTTATTATTGAGTTATGAGTAAGTTATGTTGCTTACATGACAACATGGAATGGATAAAATTCTTAAGTGCAACTCAACAGTTTTAAATTATGTGAAAGTCTCTCTGAAGCGATACTTCAAATTAATTAAATTTATATAGAGAGCAATAAAGCTTTTAAATTGAGCTTAAGAACCACAGAAAAACTCAACTTTGAACATGAAATTTTGTAAATTCTGGGGCTAAGAGTGTAGCTTGGTGATAAAGTATTTGCCTAACATGTTGAGGTGCTGGATTCAGTTTTGAGCACCACAAAAATAATTGCAAATTCAATACCAATTTTGAGTCAGTGTTTGTTTGTAAAAGACATTGAAAAACTCACACTGCCTCACATCACCACATTGTCTTCTCTCAGTTCTTTGGAAGTGCCATGCTTTCGCTGCCTCCAAGTTCTCATCCATCACTTGCTGTCTGCTTGGACCACCCACCCTGCACACTCTCACACACAGCCAATGAGTCTCATTCAAGTCTCAGAGTTAGCATCTCTTCCTCAGAGAAGTCTGTGGACCAGTTAAGGAATCTAATAGTGGTGTTCTGTCATTTTCTACCAAAGGACTAATCAACAATCACAATTAATCGAATATTTGGGTAACTGTATAAGGTCTAGTCTTTCCTTCAGACTGTAAACTTCATGAGGGATCTTGCCTTTTTTAAGTAAAATTCATGGAATATAGTAAGTAGCAGTCAAAAATATTTGTTAAGTATATAAATTACATTGTGATGAGGCATCAAAAGCCAAAAATATTCATACTGAGGCAGTGAGTTAAATCAGTTGAAATAGTCAAAATTGTATGTACAATTGTGTAACTGGAAGGGAAGGCAATTGAGAAACTATTTCCCAAATATAATCAGTAAACTATATAATGTTTATTAATGATGAATTATGAAAAACTCATATTTTAATGGTTTATCATAAAGTCACCTTGATCCTTTCTTAGCTTTCTCTAGATTTTAATAACAGATACTGACTAGAAATCCCAAATCTTTGCAGTTACACGGAAATTTTTGTTAAGCATTGTCAGAGAGATAAGACAATTTGCTACCACCATATTCAGTCCTAAATTCAAATACCATGTATCAGCAAAAGAGAGTGCTTTTTGCCAAGAACCATTTCAAAACATTTGTATACAGCATACAGTGGGTAAAACAACAAAATTTTGGAAATTCTATAAGTAACACTAACCAAAACTACAGTACACATAAGTGTAAAAACACGTAGCATATCAGAGTTGTTCTTACAAAAGAAAAATAATATATCAACATATCACTGATTATTTAAGCTATAATGACTAAGGTAATTTTTTTCTTTGAGCAATATGTAAAAATACATGTTTTCTAAAAATAACTTGAGTCCAGTGGAGCCACGATGATCTTTATAGAAGGTTAATCAGATCATACCATTCCCTGCATTGAACCTGCCCAGTGGCTTTCCACTAAGGCGGAGAGCCACAGACTTTATAACCCTTTCACAGTCTAAAATGTCACAGTCTTTGCCAAACATTTGCTTTTCCCTTCTGTCATTTCCCCAGCCCCCTACTTACAAACATACATTCCATCTCCTTTCTGCTCTGGAACATGACAAGCTCATTTTAACTTTATGCTTTTTGCAGTAAGTTCTCTGTTTGCTGAAATACTCTTCTAATAAATCTTCACGTGGCTGGCTATTTCTTATGGATAAGGATCAAATCAAAAGCTACTTTCTCATAAGAAACCTTCCTGACTCTCAATGTCAATCTCTGCTCTTCATTTTGAAATCAGCCTATACAGCAGTAATAGCCCCACTATGATATAGCCTCCATGAGATTAAAGAACTTTTTAGATATATCTATCAATATTTCCCTAAGGTTCAGAATAGTACTTGGCTCCTAACAGGTACTCAGTACATCTGTAAATAAATAATCTAAACAATAAGCAGCTCAAACTGATCTTAATCTCAGTCATTCCTCCAATGACCCTGGCTTCCATTCCCTTAGCCCTTCAAGGATTTTTAAATGCCTGTTTCTCTGTGTTAATTATCTTTCTGCTGAAAATACCGAGAGTGGTTACTGTTTCCTACACTAAACACTGAGAGGCACAGAAGCAGTTGCATAAAATAGGGGACAGAGATGAGAAATTAGTTGTCTGATCTGAATGGATTTGAAAACAGGAATTATGTGGATACTATGGAAAGTGGGATAGTTGTTGTTCATACAGCAGCACCATCGTTGATTAAATTGTCATCTATGCTGTCTTAGAATGAAATGCCTGTTGTGGATATGGCTTTTCCCGATTGCCTGAAAATCAAAGTGGTAGTGTGGAATAAAATGACTTACCTAAAGAGCTTAGAAAGAAAATGACAAGCTTACACGTTTTGATTTTCATTTTAAACCTTGGTCAGAAAATCAAGGATCTCCCTTGACTTATCTAAAGAAATTACTTTTATCCTTAAACCACAGGGCTTACACACCTGAAAAGCAATTAGAACATGATCCTGAAGCAGATAGAATTACAATTTAAGATTAATACAGAGACTCTTGAGGCTCTTCACGTAAACTAGAGGAGATTGATTGGAAAGACTAAAGCTTAAGTGCTGGAACAGGATCATTGGATGGATTTGGCTGACTTTCGAGTACTCTGAACTCTCAAGCCTACCAAGTCTCCTTCCATAGCCCATTAATTATCTACTGCTATACAATAAATCACCCCAAAACTTAGTGGCTGAAAGCAAGTGACATTTATTATCTCGTAATTTGTGAGGGTCAGGAATCCGGTCCCAGAAAAGCTGGATGCTTCTGACTCAGGGTCTCCCACCAGGCAGCAATTAAACAGTAGCTAGGGCTGCAGATGCTCGAGTTTTGACTCAGAAAATAGCCACTTCGGAACTCACTTACATGGCTCTTTTTTATTCATACATGATTGGGGTACACAATGTTTACATTCATCTTGAGGAATGTATACATGTACTGAATGTATCTTGATTCTTTTTAATTCCCTGTCCCCTCTCACTTTCCTTCCTCCAGCTCTAGATCCCTTGCCCCCATTTTCATAATCATTATTACTATTATTTCAGCTCATGTTTATGACATATGGAGATTACATTAATTGTGGGTGGCGCGTGCCTGGCATATCTTAAATCTCTTTACATACCACCCCACCCTCAGGCTCTTGGTCCCCTTCCTATTTTCAAAAGATCTATCTGTTTCCCTTTATCAATCTTTTATTTTGCTCTTTATTTATACTTTGGATTACTCAAATGAGAGAAGCCACATGCTCTTTAAGCTTGTATGTCTGAATTATTTCACTTAACATTATATTTTCAAGATGTATCCATTTTCTTACAGATGTCTCAAATTTATCCTTCTTTCTACCTGAGTAGTATTTTACTACATATAGATACTACATGGCTTTTACAGTGAGGCCTCAGTTTCCTCCCTGACTGTGGAACAAGAGTCCTCTTCAAAAGGAAGCTACAACATGGTACCTGGCTTCCCTCAGAGCTAGCAAACAGGAGAGCAACAGATTGCTCAGAATAAAAGTCTTAATCTCTTTGTAATCTCATCTCAGAGCTGACATTCAATTAGTGCTTTTTTATTTTATTTAATCCAAGTAAGGTGGTAGATCCAGTCCATACCCAAGGAGGGGAGATTACCCAGGAAGTGAAAATCAAGTGGAATAATTGCTTCCTGGATAATATTAGAAACCATGTCTCTTTTCCTGGTGTAGGAACTCCTGCCTTACTTGAAGACTTTACAAGTACATCCCATGACTTAGTAGCCAGTTAATTTTCAAGCCGATGACAATTCTTATGCATCACTCTCTCTGCCCTCATATTTCCTCAGACAATGCTGTGCTTCTGAGAACCAGCTGTTCACGTGTTTTCCCAGTGGCATGTTCAGAAACTTCATGTTGGCGGTTTGAACATGGCCATGGAGAGAATATTTACACCATAGAACTGGAAAATGCCTTCAAATGAGGTTTTCCACAGACACTATTGCCCCTTGACCTATAAATAAAGACAGATTCCAGCATATCTTAAAGAAAGAAGTATACTCTGACCCTGGAAGAGAAGACCAAACTAATGTCTTACATAAAATTGGGCTAATATGTAAAATTGCATAAGCCATAAGTGAGGGTGAATTCTAAGCCGGCAAAAAGACAGGGGACTTAGGTCAGGCTAAATGCTCCTATGTGGTTGCACTTAACACAGGATTCTCGTGTATTGGATGTGCCTGGTTGAACAGTTAAAAGTATTTGGAAGACAGTGCATGGTTGGTTGATTGGAAATTGCACTCAGTGGAGCTCTAAACTAAATTCAGTGTACAATCGGCAAAATTTAGAATGTAAGAAACTGTATAGGTAAAATGGCCTGGATTCTTTAGCACATAACTAGAGGAAAAAGAAAGAAATTGAAGGGGAATATATGGATTTGAAAAAATTAAAAGACAATAAAATAAAAAAATGGACAAGATGCACACTTGAGGATGCTAAAACTCTGAAGAAACACAAGAAGTGATTGCTATAAAAATCAGGGTAGTAGTTGGCTTTCATGAGGAGAAAGAAGATTGTGATTGGAGGGAAGTACATGAAGAGCCAACTTGCCTCCTTTTCTTGTGAGTCAGTGATTCTTGACTGACTTATAAACTTAGGCAATTTCCAGAGAGAGCTTTCCATTAACCTAATACCTTATGAAGCATGAAGCAATTTTAAGTCTGGCCATAAGAGGTCAGTATAACCTTGCTTATTTAAACTATATGTAAGATGGTGGTGGCAATGAGAGAAATCTGCCCTCGAGGCAGAGCACTTTTTAGTTTTTTGGGTGGAATTATTTCTTTTATATCTTTGAAGATTGAGAAAGCCAACTTTCCTTTTCCAAGAAGAATTTTGCCTAGATCAGCCTAAACAGGCTCTGTTCAATCTGCGGCTATTCATTTTTAAATGACTGTGTGTAAATCAGAGAAATCTAAAATTGAGTGTCAGTTTGATCTACACACTAGGAAAGATTAGTTAACATTTGAAGGGTCACTATCAGAAATATACACTCCATAAGTGGTTAATCACTATTTGAAAGACTCTTCAGCAATACACATTAGAGAAATGGCTGATGGCAATATTTCAAGTATTGTTATTTAAACTGCAATTGAGTTTGTTAATTAGCATAAATGATATTTAAAACAATATTTCCTTGGAGAATTGATTGTATCATAAGTGAACAACACCCAAGAGATCTTGCTGCTCGGTTATAGACACCACTAGTTATTTTCACTCCCTAGAGAAGCTTTACAAAGAAATTTATTTTCCACCCAAACAGCAGAATTATGTAAGTGTGCATCCTTAATATACTAATACTTATTTATACCTTTTAAGTATATGTATGTTTCAATATTTACTTAAATTTTAAATACTTAAAATAGAAAAATAAATATCATGAAATTAAATTATGTTTAAGTAATTATATGTTTTATTTTATTTATTTGGCACAAAACAGTTCTGATTGCCCTAGATTATTTCAATAATAGTTTGTGATATTGGTATAATTGAACGTTTACTTTCATGTTCATGATATATTAAAAATTTCAAATATTTAGGAGCATTTTGAAACATACAAATAATTTTAATGAGCTAAAGATATAAAATGTTCTAAATAAGTATATATCTTCTTAATGATACAAAACACTTTTTTATCATCAAATCATTTTTGTCTTTGTTCTTTGAGTTTAAATGTCTTAACATTTGTTGACTGCACAAAGACATGTGCATCCATTCATATTTCAAATGCTGTTTAATAATCTGTATTTTATTTCATAAGATTAGATTGGTATTATTTTGAATCTTACAGTGTGAAAGAAAAAGTTCACACTAGTAGTTAAAAAAAAATCAGTGGTATCATTTCTTGTAAATCCCTTATGCTGCACCCTTAGAATTATGCCATCATTTCTTTATATAAATCTCTTTAAGGCATTCCTGGCCCACTGGGGAAGGTTATTTCTGTTAAACTAGATAAAGTTATACATATATCCATGCACTAGGAACATGTAATCTGTGGCATGCCACAACATACTACAAGTGAAGGAAGGTAGGAGCGAGACAGCTACTGCATCCCCTCCTTGTGTGGGAGGGACACGTCAATTGAATGACCAAAACAACAGAACATCCCCAAAGTTGACATTTATTCTTTTATTTTCCATTAAGAGTAAAATAGGAAGAAAAGGTCCAAAAGGGAAAGGGAAGCGGGGGGGAGGAGGAAAAAATATGAGAGAAGTTTACATTTATTCTTATAGCTTCAGAAAAATAAAGAAATAGGAATGCAGATGTTTTCATACACTAGTGCATTATCTTGTCCATAGTCTGGCAACCACTGCACCAGAAGGGTTCAGTTAAATGCAGACACTCCACACCACACCTGCTGGGTCCATAGCACAGACATAACCAGGAGTAGACAAAGTGACTGTACTAGTTTCCTATTGCTGCATAACAATAGTACCCTAAATTTAGTGTCTTGAAATCACTCCTTTGTTGTCTCATCCCACTTGGGATAGGAATCTAGGCATAGCTTAGAGTCCTGCAATCAAAGTGCTGACCAGGGCTGGGTGTCCATCTGGAGGTACCCTGGGAAAGGGTCTGCCTTGCCCCTGGCATGGCATAACAGTATTCAAGTCCTTGCAACTTTAGAACCAAGAACTAGGTTTCGCTGGCTGGTGGCCAGAAGCTGCTTTCAGCTCCTTGGGGGCTGTCCAGTTTTTTGCCACACAGAGATCCTCATCATGGCTGCTTTCTTCTTCACAGCCAGTGAGAGAAAGAAAATCCAGCAAGGTGGAAGCTACAGGATGACTGACAAATGATCACTGATCTCCTTCCCTTTTGCTCTACCAGGTAGAAGCAAGTCATGTGCCCCACTCACGTAGAGGAGAAGGGAATAACACAAGAACTTGACACCAGGAGGTGGGGATCGTGGACCTCCTTAGAGACTGACTGCCACATCGCTGTTGGCTGTCCAAGGGGGAAACTAGAGAATGACAACTAAAAATCACTAGAATTTTGGGCTGGGGATTTAGCTCAGTGGTTCCAGCGCCTGCCGCGCAAGGTCTTGAGTTCAATCCCTGGTACCAAAATCAAAACAAACAAACAAAAACTCACTAGATTTTCTTGTGAATTTAAGCTTAAGCCTACATATCTGTAAAAGAGATATTAGCTCAAGTAATTTTCAGCTACATACATTCAGAAAACTACTGTTTGCTAGGTTTTTTTCCAAGCAAGTTCTTCTGTGGTATCTGAGGACAGCCCACTGTGTTCTTGCACTATATCCCCACAGCCAGCAGGACCCTGGGCTAAATTTCACCATCTGGAAGTACTCAGTTTGGGCTTAGGAAGCCGAGAGGGAAGGAACTCATGCCCTTGCTCTCAGGAAGATGGGGGAATTTCTGTGGCTGAGACAGTGCTGCACCCTCCAGACATTTCACTACGTTCCCTAAGCAGAAGTACAACCCCACATTCTCTTCTGAGAATAGCTGCAGCCTCCCAGCTCTTTGAAAGTTAGTGGTACACCTGAGCACTAGTCTCATTTTCCCTTACCTTCTCTATTCTTACCCATTTTGTGAAAACTTAATTACCTGAATTTAAATCCCTCCTATTTGAATCAGCATAGTAGTTTGTTTTCCTAATGCACCCATGACACTTCCTAAGATGAAAGGCCTTTTTAGGGACTATGTCCAGTCCTGCCGGACTTCCTCTCTGTCCCAGATGTAAATAAAAGTGCAAGAACACACACACAGAATCTGCTATTGTGGTGTGTTTTTCTTACATGCAATGATATCATTGTGTTTTATTTATCCATCAGTACATAACAAACTACACAAAATTTACTAGTGTGACAGAACCAACACTTATTATGCTCCCAATTCTGTGGGTCAATAACTAGGGCAGGGAACAGAAGGGATAGTTCATTTGTGCTCCACCATGTTTGGAACCCTGGCTGGGCTGCTCCAAAGCCCAGGGATGGCTAAGGTGGTATGGCCAGGGCCATATACCCAGGACTTTGCTTCTTCTCTATATGGAATCTGCTGGGGCTGTAATTCCAATGTGGCCTCTTCACCTGCATGCCTGTTGCCTAGGATGGGAGGGCTGAAATGGCTGGAATGGCTAAAGCTGGCTGGCATCATCCTCTCTCCTTGGGACATTCTCAAGACAACTGAACTTCTTAGGTATCAGATGATATCCCACCAGAGCAAGTGTCACAATAGCGTGCTCCCAGAGCCTGAGGTAGAAGCTGAAAAGCTTTCGTACACTTAGACTCAGCAGTCCTAAAATCACTCTGCCACATTCTATTGGTCCAGGAAGTCGTTAAGACCAGCTCACATTCAAGAGATGTGTAGGAAAAAACTCAGCCTTTTGATAGGGAAATGGTAAATGAGAACAAAGAAAGGACTTGGAGACAAGTGGCCATACTAAATAGTATCCTGTAACTAGATTTTGCACTAAGCACTAAGTCTTGGAGATATTCTCATGTCAGTCATATAAATCTACCTTGTTTTTTTTTCTCTAATTATTGCACAACATAAGCTTATATCACAGTGTGGATACTTCTTTCTCTAGAGACATGTAAATTGTTTTCATTTTTCAATTTTAAAATCTTCTTGAGCACAATTCTTATGTTTCAGGGTTTTTTGTTTTGTTTTGTTTTGTTTTGTTTGCGGTACTGGGGATCAAACTCAGGACCTTGTGTTTGCAAGGTAGGTGCGGCACCACTAAGCTAAATCCCCAGCCCTCTGTTCCAGTATTTTTAAAGTTAATATTGGGAAGAAAAATTGTATGCTTGGCATTACAGAATAAGAGCATATTTTAAGATGCTATCAAATTGCTTTCTGAACTGGCTAATCCAATTTATATCACTCCTTGAATGTATCACAGTATCAATTTCTTTAGTAAATAGTTGCTACTATCAAGCTTTTTAAAAGTGCACCAATTTTATTGTTGAAAAATGGTATCTCACTCTTTTATTAGTTTTTATTTTCCTATACGTGAAAGGTTATACAGCATTGAGTTTGTTCTGTGAGTTGGCCATTCATACTTTTTGCCTACTTTTCTATTGTAATTTTTTGTTTCCTCTATTTGTAGAAATGATTTACCCTAATCCTCTTATTTTTACCTAGTCAGAAAAGGTTTTGATGAAAGCCAGCATCCTTGCCACATTATTGGAGGTCAAATGAAGCGGAAAACTCAGAACTATGAGGTCCATGACTTGGTATCATTACCCTCAATAATCACTTTAGCCAAAAATTTTATTCCAGAGGGAACAAGAATCCCCAAATTTCTCCAGGCAAAACCCCATCCTTGAAGTTACAAATAATATCTTTGACAAAAACATCAAAATTGTGTTTCCACAAAAGTGTGATTCTCAACCAATGGCCTCAGAATCACATGGGTAATTTGGCAAAAATATAGATTTCTGGGCAAAACCCCAGATCTACTGTACCAGAAATTCAAGGGAGCTGAATTTTAACTAGCTATTTTTAACTAGCTATTTTCCACTCCCCAGTAAAATTTAAAAATCACTATCCTGGGCACAGATCAGCAAGTTAGAAAGAAAGTAAAAAACAGGATAATATGCCACCTCCCTAGTTTGCTCTGGAAAGGAAAAGTAGAACTATATCAAAGAATCTGAGAACTAGAGGCATCTTAGAGATTGTCTAACTCCACAGGACTTAAACCTGCTCAGCAACAGCATTAGACAGAGATTCTCCCTGAACAATTAAGTCAGAATCTCTGCAGGTTGAGTCAGACACCAGCACTTGTAAAAAGCAATGATATATTCCATGCACCCCAAATCAGAAGCTGCTTGCCTAATCCTAAACACTTACTTTACAGAAAAGAAAACTCAGGCCAAGTGAATTTGCAGCATATGTGTTTTTATTTGTCTCACCGAGTCTAGTGGCCAAGAGCTTTAGTTGTTCTGATGAGCTCTCCAGTGCTCACTCTATGACTTAACAGTTCCTCCAGGTGGGCTGATTTTACTTTGAAAAGGTTAATGCAGAGACACTTACTCTGAGGGTAAAGTGTCTTCACAATGTTGGTAAATGTTCTTTTTTAAGAATCAATTCTGTACTTACTATCTTACTTTCTGCAGAACTACAAGGGAAAAGCTTCCAGATCTGTGTGCATAGCTGTGGTTAATCAAAATGCATAGCCACAATTACACATACAGCTTTTGCTGTATCTATTTTTTTCCTCAAGTGGCTTTACAAACCAAACATTACACATCTATACATGAGACCTTTATCAGACCTTAAGTATTTGTATTTTTTTACAATATCAAAATATG